GTTTGTATTAGGACAGCGTATGATGATACGAAGGACACAGTCGGTTGTGACAACCTCAGCTGTCCCTATGTTTGGCTACACTTTGCTTGTGTGGGGATAAAGAGAGCTCCCAGAGTTGACAAATGGTATTGTCCACAGTGTCGAAAGTTACCAGAATTTCGAGGCTCGCGAACGAAAGTTACCAGGATTCCAAAGCTAGCCAAAAAGTGACCTGACTCTAGATAGGCAGGTAGAGAGAGACAATGTTGAGTGTGTGACGAGATTGATAAGAAAAATAGAAAAAAAAACAGCTGTATTCGTCTTATAAGGTGTTATTCGTCTTTTAAATGTCCGATTAAAATACATTTGTTATTTCTTCTCATCATTTCTTCTAAGCATATCATACTGTAGTGATTTTCTTGCACTGTCAGTTCTTATTTCGCGCGTGGTATTTTAACCAGTTTCAGCTAGGCTGCGTTCTGCTCGTTTACATTATGTTTAGTGATGTGACTCGCAGGTTTTCTTGTCGCGTTATAATGTATCGCGTGTATTATATGTCGATTAAAAATTAAATTTGTTATTTCTTCTCATCATTTCTTCTAAGCGTATCATACTGTAGTATTTCTTGCACTGTCAGTTCTTATTTTCGCGCTGTGTATTTTAACCAGTTCAGCTAGGCTGCGTTCTGCTCGTTTACATTATGTTTTACTGATGTGACTCGCAGGTTTCTTCTGTCGCCGTTTATAATGTATCGCGTGTATATATGTCCGATTTAAAATTAAATTTGTTATTTCTTCTCATCATTTCTCTTCTAAGCGTATCATACTCTAGTATTTCTTGCACTGTCAGTTTTCATTTCGGCGCGTGGTATTTTAACCAGTCTCAGCTAGGCTGCCGTTTCGGCCTCTGCTCGTTTACATTATGTTTTAGTGATGTTACTCGCAGGTTTTCTTGTCGCGTTATAATGTATCGCGTATATATATGTCCGATTAAAAATACATTTGTTATTTCTTCTCATCATTTCTTCTAAGCGTATCATACTGTAGTATTTCTTGCACTGTCAGTTCTTATTTCGCGCGGTATTTTAACCAGTTCAGCTATTGGCTGGCGTTCTGCTCGTTTTACATTATGTTTTAGTCATGTGACTCGCGGGGTTTCCTTGTCGCGCGTATAAAAGTTCGCGTGCGTTCATTGAGTGTGCTGACGAGATTGATGAGAAAATAGAAAGAAAAACAAAAAACAGCTGTATTCATCTTATAAGGTGTTATTCGTCTTTTAAATGTCGATTAAAAATACATTAATAACACAAAAAATATGTTAAAACGGATAATTATTTCTTTATTTTGGTTAAGCTTTATATTATTTAAATTACTATTTTCCAAAACAGCAGAACATTTTTTTTCTTTGCCGATAACACTATTACAGCAAATAATTTGAGAGTTAAAGTAAATTTTAATTTAAAACCTCAATTCACCCCTGTACATATATCACATATTTTTAAATTATTCATTACATCACACATTTCATTTATCACAACACGTACATGTATGCAAAAGAAAAAACTTGACAAATTTCAAAGGGTGTGCATATCATTAAATAAGCATTGAGTTCTCAAACCCATTATGGACAAACCGTGAATACGCTTACCACCGTCAATGCGACCAAGTTGAATAATTTCTGCTTTATTTAAATATTTAACAACTTAACTAACTAATATCAAAACTTAATAAATCTATCACTCTAATTTCGAAAATATAATATTGTTTACTTTATAATTATTATAACCATCATTAGGATACCCACTTCCTTAATTCAGTCTCACTGCACATCAATACAGTACAGGTCGCGGTATCATATCGATTCTAATTAACTCAGTCAAAAGAACAACCGAGTCGCACAAGTTTGCACAAAGCACAGGACACAGTCACTATTTTATCGGATGGGTGGGTATATCTTCGGGGTGGCAATGTACATAGTCTATGCGGGATAGTGCTCTGTAGAATGGTGTATTTGTTTCTCACAAGAACCAATCACTCTTTCAACATGTATGCGACTGTGCTTGCAATTTTTCGTGTCGACTCTACTTCCAATGCAGAGAGTTGCTTTTTCCCCTTCTGTAAAGGCTGGGGAATTTTCACCTCAGCCGCACATCAGGTCCAACACTATCTCCAATGTCAAATCCCGATCAGCCAAGACAATGTCACCAGTAGCAGTAGACGATAATAGTCCACAATCCTCGGTTATAAACTTGTCGCTAGCTCGACCGCCCCAAGCCTCCGAAATAAACGACACAGAACCTTGCGGCCTGTGATACCGATTAAAATATTTGATCGTGTTGTGTGTGCTTGTAGTTTGACCATGTTTTTGCTCTGGCGTCTAATCGGGGATGCGCCTATCAACAAAAATTCAAAGCAGTCTATTATTACAGACACTTTCAGTCCGAAAGTACTTCGAAAATCCATTGCGCATTGTAAGTTGCAGCTCCTCCCTGTCATGGCCAATACACAAATCCCTTCATCAGTGACATACATTACATGTAAGGTATCATTTTGAAAAACTTTTTGACACACACGCGGTTGAAAACTTTGAAGCAATAGCCTAAATAATGCATGCTCAAATTCATCCTCAGCTTCATAAGGACTAGCAGCACCTTTTGAAACTTTGCGTCAGTACAGTTCTCCCATTCTCTGTTAGGCGTGGCGAGATGAATGTGAAAACTGCATCAGCGTGTCGTAATTTAGACCAGTAAAATGAATTTACTTTCTCTTTGTCGTCCTTCATGGATTCGGGGGTAAACTCGGCGTCTGTGCAAGTTTGACCTTCAAATCTCGGTTCTCATCAATTCAAACTCTGCCACTTTCTTTTCGCATCTGACCAACAATCACAGGTTCCGTCTCCTTGACCTTAATGGCAGGCTCTTAGGGCGACCGTGCAAGAACATCCTGCAGACTGTACGCATCTAGATCCGACGCTGGCTCGGAGTACATCCACAGAATCGGTCGAGAACAAAGCGAACAAGGGCCTGTGCTGCGCACTGCATCTCTCCCGCTTTTCCTCGAGACCTCTGGCGCGTACCGCGTACCTCTTGACGCGCCGACTCAGTTCTCATCTCGCCCCTTTTCGACATTTGGTAACTGGGGTCATCTTCCGCCGAGGGGGCATTTACACAATCTCCTCTCTCACCCCTTCCACTCCCCACCTCTCTACATTCCAGGCGCACTCATTAAGACCCCCTCTCCCCATTGGCATTATATTGACCCCCTTCTATTGCTAAGAATGGACCCGCGATATTGAAATCCTAGTCAGAGGCTAGTAAGTAAAGTACTAAACAGATATACAAAGGCAATCCGGGTGAACTCGCTCAGACTTAGTCTTTCTTTTCTACATCAAAAGATATGTACATTTTTAGGTGGTATATAATTAAACATTGAATGGAAATGTAAAGGCATAAGTCATATTTACCCGAAATGAAATGGTCGGAACAAACTGTTTGTAGTGACGTTTGTGTGGGTTGGCGGTTGTAATCCTTCCTCGCGATACGAGACAGCCATAACGCACGTCGTTCAGTGGAAAGTTTCTCGAGTCTGCGGTCCCTGCCGTGCGTATGTGACCGTTGGGATGGAAAAATACGCATCTTTTTACCTTCCCGCATTGTCACGGTTCGAACAACCCCAGACAAATACAGGTGTTTAACCATCTTGGCTTGAGCCGATATAATATCATAAACTTCGCGCTGATCTAAAAATGCTACAGCGTTGCTTTATCAACAAAACCTGACAAATACACATGGCCGGCGGAGAGATCATGGGAAAGTACGCTGGTGACGTTCATTGGAAAACGCAATCATAATAGGGCTTGGATTAGAGTAGGGTTGGTTTAGACGCAGAACCCAACAGCAGTAGGGCTGAGTTAGGGTTGGCGTTTTAGAATAATAACCCTACTCTGTGTTGGGTTACATTTATCTGTCTATCTATGTCTCGGCTAGCGTGCCCGGCGTATCGATCATTTAACTGCCGCAGGCCTGCGGCAGTTAGGCCCTAATTAACGCGTGGCTATATAGTACTAGAGCCTATTATGTCTGCGCGCAATGCAATTGATGCATCATTGCATTGACGTGCATATCGATTCATAGGCAAGTGAATTTTGTTTTCAGCGCTAGCGTATATGAAACCCAGCCCACGTTTGCGCACTTCATTTACATTTATTTGGTTTTACCGTTTTGTACGTGTATACATAGTTATACCAGGACATTATTATATAGAATATATATATTGCGTCAGTACTTACAACGTTGAATATTCCCATGATAGACTATAATTGATACTATCTCCTCACAAATCAAATCTGTAACTGTCCGTGTTGTCTGGACGTTGTCGATGGTACTGACAGGTGCTGGTAGACTGGTCCTGACACTGTCGGTAGTCACAGTACTTGTCACGGCAAGTGCTGGCAGTGGTGGCTGTGCTGTCTGGACTTTGTTATTGGTACTGACAGGTGCTGGTAGACTGGTCCTGACACTGTCGGTAGTCACAGTACTTGTCACGGCAAGTGCTGGCAGTGGTGGCTGTGCTGTCTGGACTTTGTTGTTGGTACTGACAGGTGCTGGTAGACTGGTCCTGACACTGTCGGTGGTCACATTACTGGTCACGGCTCGTGCTGACAGCGGTGGCCGTGTTGTCTGGACGTTGGTACTGGCATAGGTCTGGAGCACATCTTCCCCACTAGCTCTGGCAGGACTGCTTTGATAAAAAAATCTTTCGATTTATCAACAAGTGTGTTGCAGAATGCCATGTCAATTTGGATCCTCTCCTGGAAATAATCAGCTTGTGTCCATACTATGAAATCACAGTACTCCTGCTGTGTGACCAAAAGCTGACACTGCACCTGGTAATAGTAACCATGCTTCCTGCTCAATCTCAATTCACCATCCCGGACTTCAAGACAATCTACAGTCTCGTCAACTTTGGAGTTGCGTTTACAGTATGGACACTTTATCTCAACGATAACAGTTCCACAACAGTCGCATTTAGCAATCCCGCCTGGTGTTGCCCTGAAAAAGGGATAGTTCGGATGCAGAACAAGTCCACTGTCCAGCAACGTGAAATTCTCGTGAATGTCACACATTTTCGCTTGATATTGTTCTGTAGCTTCGCGCTCGTGGTCACAACCCCATTCAGTGTATTTTGATTTGAACACTGTGGTAGATGGGTAGCAAATGTCCCTGATTAGACTTTTGGCCGGTTTGTCGACAGAGGTTCGACATACAGATTTCATACGTGAAGCTGTTATTCGACCAGTTCGAAAGGAAAACCATGCTTTGCATCTTGATTGCAATCTGATAGCCGACTCCACATTTTTGGCTTCTTCTTCGGACACACTGATTTCCGAGAACAGTGTTGTACAATGTTTCAAAATAGTTTCCGGTAAGGCGGTAACATAGTTCTCATCCTGTAGTTCTGAGAGGACTTCGGGATATTTCTTGCTTAGTACTTTGGGCACGTACTTTTTGCTAAATCCAGGTTTAAGTGACAGCAATACTGGCATGGAGTCAGACTTGTCTAGCGTTTGATACAAGGCCATCATCTCATCTTCAGTGGGCTCATCTACGGTTGGGAGTTTGCGTCTACTTCTAACTTCAGGAGTTGCTGGTAAAATACTGATTGCATGGTCCAATTGTTTTTTCTTGGTTCTAGCCGAGGTGAAATCAATGTCCTGGATTCTGTGGTAGCCCACTTTGTCAATTGATGGTGGAAGTAGCCAGTAAGCTGCCTTCTGGGTGACTGTCTGTGACTCTCTGATTCTGACAGCAGAAGCAATGGCAAATAGCATGGCACCAATATGGGAACACGTT